ATCTGGATGTTCTCCAAGTCCAGGAGTCTCAGCTTCATTTCCATGCTCAGCAACGTGTCCAGGTCACTTTTAGTCAGCTCACTGGACATGTCCTTCCCCAAGAGAGCATTAAGCCCATCAATCCAGATACAGTACTGTGGAAAAAAAAAAAAAAAAGGGTATTTCACAACTCCAGACATAAATGATACTTTATGTGGAATCTTTCCATGTATGCAACAATTAGAGATACTCCTATACAGCTCCAAAACAGGAAATATGGGAGGGAGTTAACCTATGGGGAAAAAAAAACACACCCCAACCCTAAAACAGTTCCCACCGAGATTTCCAATGGAAGTTAGAAGCCTAGAGGTAAGCATGACCCCATGGCCCTAGGAGAGGGCCAAGAGTTTCTGTTGTGGCGTAACAACAGAAAATGCAAAGCTATTTTAGGGATCCATGTCTTAGAGAATAGAGAAAAGGGAACAACTGACTGAAGAGAAAGAAAGAAAGTAGCAGTCCAGATGAAGAGAAATTAGAATTATTTTTTTTTTTTAAAGAGAAAGATAACTGGGGGGGTGAGGAAGATTCACACTAACCATCAGCAACATTTTCTAAGAATGAACCTGGTGGGAGACATCCTGCTCAAGCCTTTAATGAGAAGCAACTAATCCTCCTTAATCTCTGAAGTTAATTGTTTTATATTCTACTGCTTAACCGCTATGTTTCTTACCTCATATTTGTTAGGTGCAATGAAGTTCAAGGTCTCATCAGGATCGTATAATATCGAGAAGGCCAATTCTAACACTTCCTGAATGGAAAAGAATCTTTCACTCATCAACTGAACAAAACATCACAGCACCTTCTGCCCGCTAACCCTACAAGAGAAGCTGCCTTGCTGCAGCTCAGTGCACTTTCCCATATCAGTATTTTGAGCAACTCCAAATCACCTATAGCACAACCGCACTATGCTCACAGCACCTAGCAATCACAAATGAGTACTAGGAAAAGGCCCAGGTATGAGATGAGTTCTGTAAACAATACACCTGCAGTGTGGAAGACCATTTGCTCCTGTTGCTTGCTTTCAGAGTCTTCAACTCTACAGCACTGGATATTAATTACAGGCAAAAAGGGAACACTTACTTTGTTCTGTTTCAGAGCACTTTTCTCCTTCATGTGTGGACAATCCTTCCCTGTGACAATGGCTTTGATGTCTGCAACTGGAACTAGCGGTGAAAAAGTAAAACTCACCAACAAGAAATCCTAACCAGGAAAAGACAGAACTTTGTTTTTTCTTTGCAACTGAGCATTGTTCCTGGTTTTGTAGTTCATTAGTGCAGTTTTCCAAAAACACGTTACCAGTAACACATCCCTACAATTAGCTGTTACAAGAAATACCAAGCAATTCCAAGACTCAAAGGATTTGGGCAAGGACCAAAAGTTGATCTTGTCTCAGTCAGGGCTTCAGCCACAGCTCTTTTTCTCTCCTCTCTAGGATGGTACTCAAAACAGCCTCTGGATGGCAGAGCACAGAACATTGCACAGTGTGTTCAGAGCAGTAATTGGGACTTACTTTTTTCCTGTAGAGATTCAAAGGTGACTTCCCCCTGGGCATTATCTTCCAGATCTCCATAGTGTAGCACCTTGTGATTCAGAGCCAGGCGACAATACCAAAATCTTTCTGGAACACACATCAAGTACAGTAAGCTGAGCAAGATCATTCACATAAGGTCTTAACAGCCACTACGGTTGGAGTTGATGATCTTTGAGGTCTCTTCCAACCATAATGATTCTACGATTCTACATTACAGTCTCCCCACCCAATCCCTCTACTCCTCCCATTGCTCAGCACTGCTTCCTGCTCATGAGGGGATGGCTGTATTCTTAGAAATGCACATTTGTTCCATCCCAAACAGCTGGCTGGTACAGACAGCCGAGGTAATCACCTTTCCTTTCTGGCAACATGCCTGCTGACAGATTAATCCATTAGATCTTATTTGCTTGCAGTTCTTCACATGAAAAAAATGCAGTAGATGCTGTCACCTTACCTTGTCTTCTGCGATTTCCAATTTTTCGAAAGCTACTTCCCTCACAAAGCCTGTTCAGGCGCTGTTGTTTTATCAGCTCCAAGATCTCAGGTTGGATTTTCTCTCTTAGCTCCCTGGCAATCAAATATGGAAGAGTAAGCAGAAAATGGAGATAACGGCAAGCACAGAAGGCAACTGTTTTTGTTAGGCACTTACACAATAGGTGGTGACTGGAAGTCATCTTGGCTCATTCTCTCAGACTGGCGCAGTCGCAGAATCTCAGAATAGCTCAGGCTGCGCAGTTTGCTCTTGAACTGGTCCAAGGAGTTTGGTTTAGAGGGGAGAGCCCGTGTGATCTGTTCCCTGACAACCTGCATAACCTAGAGGTTGGGAAGTGAGAAAAGCAAGTCGTATTGCTGCTTAATGGCAGCAGAGAACCAGGGCATAGCTCAGTGACAGCAAAGAACTGGTATGGAATAACCAGGGCCAAGAGTGTCAATGTACTAGTGACTTTGAAGATCCAGAAGAACAAAGAATGACCTCAGGTCATACCAAATAGAAGTTGGACCATCCTCCCTTACAGCCCACATCAATGCCCTGTCATATCTTCTGCGCTTTACTCTTTAACCAAGTGTACAGGTTAAGTAAACACGTGCTGTTCTGCAAAAGATTCTACAAAAATACCTCTTCTCCACTCTGACCTTATTAAAATCTTCTGCTGTTGCCCTCATTTCTTTCCAGGTCTTATTCAACAGCTGGATGCAGATGGCAAATAACTCCTCAAATGCACGATCATGGGTGAAAAACATGGGGTGATAGTCATTCCGGCCTTCATTGGCTTCGGGAACAAACAGAAACCACAACCATGTGAGTATATTGCACAAAAGCTACTAACAGTAACTAAAATCCACTACAGTGACAGAAACCTGATGGTGTACAATAGCAGTAACTCAAAGCGATTAAGACAGTTCAATGCTTCGTCTCCCCATAGACAGTCTATATTGGGAACGGCAACTATCCCCATGCTTCACCATGCAAGCCTCTGTGACTCATGTGCCCTTTTCATACTAGTCCCCCCAAATGACTGCTTTCAGTGGCTTCCCACTCTCCTCTGGTACAATTTCTTATAGTGGTTAATTGTCTCAGAATGCAGTTTTGAGACTGTGAGAGCTACTAAACTTTTCTCAAGTTCATTATAGTTTCTACAATGTTTGTTGGTTTTTTTTTTATACAGCACCCTGCTGAAGCTTCAGTAAGTTGAAGCCTTCTGCTTGTGTCAGTTTTTCAGGAGAACCAGAGTACACACACCAAAATTTCTTACTTTACTTCAATACTGGTATTATCACTGGGACACAGACACTGCAACTCCAAGCTCCCCCTGTCCTTACGGGACAGAAGTGAGATCAAGGTACAAATGCTTGTGAATATTGGTCAGCGTGTAAGCTACTTCCAGAAGCATCAGCACAGCACTTGGAAAGCTGAGGTAATAAATGGTACATACGGAGTTCCCCAACTTGCAAGATCTCACAAAGCATCCTGGTAAGCTCAATGGCACTGCGCCCAAAGGGACACTCATGCTTATCTTCTCGACTGCTGTTCTCCAGAACAATCTACAAGAAGAGGATGCAACACACACTAAGAAGAGCTGCTGAGGTGTTGGTATCTGCATAAAACAGCAGCTTCACTTACCCTGATATAGGTGTCCTGATGAAATTTGGCCAAGTAGAGCATGTTGTCCAATGCCAGCATCCCTGGAGGAGTCTGAGTAAAATCCATGGCTGGATTGATGTGATTCTGTGAAAAGAGCACGTAGAAAGAACCCAAACAAATTGGCTCAAAGAAACTGTGTTAGCACCTTTTCTGAATGAATTTTACAACTGCCTGTCCATCAAGCACTCCCTCACACCTATCCAAGAGGTCACTTTCGGCCTCTACTGACAACACTATCCGAACTTTCTAGAAGAGAGGCCAATTCCAAGTTCTTCCTAGAATAGGTACATACAGTAAGTAAATATCTCCAGAGAATGTGCCTAATGAGCCCTGGCATTTAACCAATCAGCAAGTTCATAATTACCTTCCCTGGGAGTCTGAGTGTAGCTGAATTTCTAAAACTCAGATACAGAAGTATGGTAAAGCAAACAGCTATTTCTGTTCCTTATTTCCCCACAACTCTGATGGAGATCACTTAGATTGCCTTTACGTGCTTTACAGTCAGCACTCTCTCTAGATGCGTACAGTGAATCCCAGCATCTTGTAGTCCTTGGTGTACATGGCTTTGCGTTTTTCTGTTCCACTGCCAGGGACGGCGTTGCTGTCAGACTCTGCATCAAATGCAATTCTTCTCAACTCAAATATGATGTCTCTCTGTGCCTGAAGGACAGAAGGCAGGGAAATGGTAATGTGATCAATCACTAGGGCAGTATTTTCACACAATGCACAGTCCCACCACTCTCTCCAGAGCTCACACAGCGAATACAGAGAGATGCCAAAGGTCATTAACACCATGTAAGAAGAGGCAATCCATTTCAAAATGGCAAGTTTCAGTATATTATGTAATGCAAACTATTTGTTTGGATTTTCCTTTACTTGCCCCAAGCTTAGTTAAATGCAATTTCTAGGCATTCAGATAATGCTAAGGCATTATAATGATAATGCATCTAAGAACTGAATAACAGACACCTTAAAAATGCCCAGCTTCCTTCTATACTACAAGGAAATGGACAAAACAATATGCCCTCCGTAGAGGTGCAGTAATCATTTTGACAGCTGGCATCACAGTGGTCAAGAAAGGAATACATGGCTTCCAGTGACCACTTATATCTCCAAAAGTCCCACAGCATACAGCAGGATAGTCATGAGCATACTGTAATCTCAAGGACTACAATGTGAGGGGTGGTTTTGAAACTTTATGCACCATGCACCACAAATTCTATGGAGCTAAGGAGCTCAGGAATAAGGCCCCTTGTACATCCTATTCTATCAGATCTTACTCAGCTCTAATAGTGACCTGATCATTGGGATCCATCTTGGTCATCATTCTCTCTTCCAGGAGATTAAAGGTCAGGACCTGTAGTACGTACAGCTGATGTGCCATTTCTGTTTTAATTGGGCGGTTCCCTCTGATCACATGCTGCAAAATAAAGGATAAGGTAGAAAATAAGAGAATACAAATAAAAACTCAGGTATTGGCTGTAGGCATATGCCAGGCTGCATGTACATCTCTGTATATGAAGATTCAGCTGTTTAACCTCCATATTCCATCAGAAGCATAATGATAACGCTCTGTAACAGCAGAAAGAAGCACCCTGATAACTTACCTTTGAACAAGTGACTCCAATTTCACCTTTGAAAGAGTCACTTTTCTGGAAGTGCCCTGAGGGCAGCAGAATTTGCACTCTGCACAAGTGAAACCTCTATTGAGAAAACATTAGAAAGCATTCTGTCATTCCGGGCATACTTACATTCAGGATTATAGACCTCAGGTGCTTCTGGGCAAATGCATTAGCCATTTCCTGTTGTGGAATTTAGAGATGAAATAACATGAGTGAAATATAAACAAAAAGCCCACATTGTGCAGAAAGGAGAGAAAGAAGGAAGCCTATGAACTGGAGATAGCACTGGCACACAACAAAGTGCTTTTACTACAGACTGTCAATTTAGCATGGCATCTCACCACAAAGCAAGCATCAGGTTGGGATGCAAGGGTCATCTTTACCATGGCACAACTCATTTATGGCTCCCCTACAAAACATCATTAATGTGGAGAAAGGCACTAGCGTAGTCAAAGAACAGAAGAAAATCTAGATTAACATTGGACATCTAATGATACTTTAATATCAGGAGATATCGCAGCGGGGAGCATACTGTGGGTTGCCCAGAAAAATCTGTTGTCTACAAGAGGTTCCTTCAATTAGCATTTCACAACTTTCTATACCTAGGTATACATCCAAGATAACAAGGGCTAGAGAATGTAGTTTTCAGGTCTCCTCCCTCTCAAAAACTCTCCCTCTGAAATTTACATTTCCTTTGTCTCAGTTCCTGAAGAGATGTTTAGAAGTCAGTTAAGGACAATTTGCAGAAGCACTTCAGTTTACAAAAATAAAGGGTAAATAATTTTCATGCTTAAAGGAAAGCTTCCAGTTTCCCTCTTTACTGCATGGCTTCCTTCCCCAGATGAGGAGGCTTTCCCAACCATCAAGTCATGATGACAGGCACAGCAGATGCAAATATCTGCTGCAAGCCTTCAGTTCCAGGACCAATTACACATGCACTTGCAAAAATCTAACCTGTGCTTTCCTTGTGAATTGTGAAGATGCACTTTTTAAAAATACCAGCGATCTCATTACACCTGCGAGGAGAGTGGCACAAGTGCTACTGTCAAGATGGAATATTATCAGAAGCTTGCTGTTATAAGCAAAATCTTTGGGTAAGAAAAATCTGTGGGGCAATACATGATTTGGAAGAAGTCCAAACAAACTGCTAGTTTGAGGTCTCTTCACATTCCTATGCAGTGCAAATTGAGAACTGGAAGCAGATGTGCAGTCTTAGACAATTGCACTCAATCAGTTGTACATTCTGAGCAATCCAAGACCGTTCCAACTGCGCAGATCAACCCTGCTCTTGATAGGTGTTATAAGGAGTCTGGTAAAATGTGTATATTAACCTAACTCCAAGTTCCTATTGTAATTTTTGCTCCAGACAGAAACCTAAACCAAGAAAGTTATCTGCTGGCTGATAGCCAAGCCATAATGGCTACAAGTTCAGCAGCACTCATGTTACAACCAAAATGAGTCAGCGCTTGAGTGGAAGATATCTAAGAAGCATCTAGATTAAGTAGGAAGTGGTTTCAGAGATAACACACTGCCCTCTGAGTCATTATTTTTTACTCTGATTTGTGAGATGTAGTACTGAGAATAGAACAAGGCCTGCTGTTAGGATTTGTTCATGAATGCAACACAAAGAATCCTTACTCTGAAGGAATTAGTTTGTACGTGGGATGAAGTAACAGGTGCCTGAAGCAGAGAAACAGTGGGAAGGACAAAGACAATTAAACAATTCTAAATAGCACAGTAAGAAGCATGAGCACACACATAGCCCAACCACTGCTAAGGGATCTATGTCCTGCTGAGAGTCCAGTAATGCCCACTTTGCTGCTTGATGGGGTCACAGAATCATTGATGTTGGAAGAGACGTCTTGAGATCATCTAGTCCAACTCCCCTGGTTCAAGCAACATCAGAGAGAGCAGGTTGTGCAGGACCATGTCCAGTCAGGTTTTTAATATCTCCACTGACAGAGACTCCACAATCTCTCTGGGTAACCTGTTCCAGTGTTTGACCACCCTCATATTAATTTTCGTGTGTGTGTGTTCAGGTGGAATTTCCTGGGTTTTAAGCTGTGCCCATTGCCTCTTGTCCTGTCAACAGGCACTATTGAGAAGAATAGGGCTCCCTCTTCTTTATTCCCTTCTATCAGATATTTATACACATTGATAAGAACCCTCCCGAGCCTTCTCTTCTTGAGATTGAGTGATCCCAAATCTCTCAGCCTCTATTCATATGAAAGATATTCCAGTCCCTTAATCATCTTCATGGCCCTTTGTGGTCATGTGAATTGTGTTCAAGGCGGGGGGTGAGGGTGGGGGGGAGGTGGGCAAGGAAAGAAAGGGGCAAGGAAAGGGAAAGGGAAAAGAGAAAGAGCCCTTGGAATTTTGTTTGCTATGAAGTTTAGTATCTTGGCCAAATTACCAACAGAGGAGTACATTCTTCCTTATCTTCATGTGTTAAGTATACTCATTAATTTTAGAAATTATGTAACATTGATTGAGACCACAGTTTCCCCTCTGAAGGCACTGCATCCTAGGCAAAAGTGGAGCATTCGCTGTGCCACCCAGAAAATCTAAAAAATGTACCAGAATCTCAAGATACAGCAGGTTCCAAATCAACCTATTAACAAGAGTGATGATTCCCCTGGAGATAGCAAAAGCATTCTTATAGTACATTCCTATAAGGGAGAAGTCAGATTAGGCAGAATGCATGCTCTAGCCCCCAATCAGCACTAAGTTTTGTGACTGCTCTTCACAAAGAGCTCTACCTTTAGAAGGACACAGCTGGGTATGAAACTCATTAATGCAAGCAAGATTTGAGGTATAAACTCAGGCTGTAGTAAGTTTAAGGAGACCCAGACTGCTAAAGAACTGGTTCCAGTTTTACAACTGGTTCACCTGGTCAGTCTTGTAGTATCAGTTTCCTTTTACAATTATCTTTTTTATCTTGTGTGCACGGTAAATCATTCAAGATTTCTCCTGCTACTGATTGTTCTCCCCTTCACAATCTGAGTACATCCCCAGGAGTCCTCCCCGCGCTTCTCCCTAGGCTCATCCACTATCTGAAGCCTGTATACATCATCTCTGAGATACAAGGAGGCATAACTGGAGAAAAGCTAACATGCCTACAATTCCGCATGACCAGCCCCCAGGCTTGAGTTACTTACAGTGATGGGCAGGTCTAGTGGGTTAAGCAGCTTGTCCTGCTGGCAGAAAGCAAAAAAAAGGCACAAAGAGAAGCAGACAAGATTTAGCTTGGAGTCCAGAAATAAGGAACAAATGGGGCACTAGAGAAGAAAGGCTTAACACAGCAAAGCTACACAATACAGACATATGCACATCTTGCACATAGCTGAGATCTTGGGGGTTTCCTCAGAGCAGGACAGGTGTTTCATTTCTCACATATGCCAGTGGGAATGTGGCTTATGTGACTTAAGACAAGTCCCTTTTTTGGGGAAGGGGGAGGTGGGGTGTTTGTTTAGTAAGTACATACAACCCCAAGGACTCTACCCAGCCTACCTCTGCCATACAGAATTAACTTTCTTAAAAAAAAATGAATTCCCATGCTGTATAGAGAATTAGTTTCTGTCTCTCAAGGCCTTCCAGATTCCTTTCTGAGCGTCTCCTAAACATAGATGTGCTGTTCCAGAACACATTATTAATGGGATGGTACTTTTTCTCCTATGTTGCCACACTGAAACAGCTACATAAGTTCTTGGCAAGGTCTGAGGTCTGCCTTGCCCAGACAATACAATTTTTGAGGCATAAAGTAAACAGCCAGCCAGCTACCATTATTCAAGCTTACAGTCAAAAAGCAAGAACAAACCTGTCTCTTGTCTTCAGGTGCCTTCAGGAAGAGAGCATTGATCAGGGCAATGGCATATGTCTGAATCTCTTGGTTTGAGCTGCAGGAACAAAAATGGGAAGATCAAAAGAGGACAGTATAGAACATTACCACTTGCTGTTTTGCCTGCACCATAAGAATATTTACTACAGCTATCTTGCATTTCAACGGACAAGCAGGATTCAGGTAATCTACTTTTATGCCATCCAACACTTCGTAAGGCCTGCAAAAAGCTAACAGAAATTGCTGACTGATAGCTCCATTATTCAGAAGATAGTGCAGACTGCAGCCCAGCACAGCTCAGAGTTCAGCACCACCACAGTTTGTTTCCAATGTTGAAACTACCTCTGTAAAGCCTGGTTACATTGCAGTCTGTTATATGGATATGGCTAGAAACTTAATGGAACAAGTAATTTTTCTCCCCCATGTCAATGGAAGCCACCAAATGCAAATGGAACTATGGGGGAAGCATGCCTCTCTTCATGGTATTGCCTTCCAACCTCAATAGTTTTTCCCAACCATGTCTTTTTCTTACTTTCACTGAAGAGCTTGTTTAGGTAAAAGGTGCTTAGTCCCTTCCTAGATCACACATAGTGTGTGGTTTCACTGGTGATGTTCTGAATAAGCTTCCAAATGTCGATCACACCCTTTTCCACCCCAGTCTTGATGCTCTATCAAATCCCGTATTGTTTCTTGCTATACTATTACTTTTTGTGGTGGGCTGACCTTGGCTGGATGCCAAGTGCCCATCAAGCCACTCTATCACTACTCTCCTCAGCAGGACAATGCAGGGGAGAAAATAAGATGGGAAAAAAACCCTCATGGGACAAGATAAAGGCAGTTTAATAAAGAACAAGCAAAGGCCATGCACGGAAGCAAAGGAAAACAAAAGATTATTCTCTACTTCCCATCAGCAGGTGATGTCCAGCCACTTGCTGGGAAGTAGGGCTTCAGTACGTCTAGCAGTTGCTCCAGAAGGCAAACATCATAATAACGAATGTCCCCTCTCCTCCTCTCTTCTCTTAGCTTTTATTGCTGAGCAGACATTATATGGTATGCCATGTCCCTGTGGTCAGTTTGAGTCAGCTGTCCTGGCTGTGTCCCTTCCTAAGATCTTGCCCAACCACAGGCTACTGGTGAGGGGGGGAATGTCGGAGAGATGGCCTTAATGCTATGCTGAGCCCTGCTCAGCAGTAGTAAACCCACTGGTGTGTTATCAACACCTTTCTAGCTACCAATACAAAGCACAGCACTATGAGGGTTGCTTTGGGGAAAATTAACTCTATCTCAGCCAGACCCAATACACTCTTGGGAGGCTTCTGCAGAACTTCAAGCTCTCCTGATTAACAGAAGACCACTGCATCACCTAAATGAATTTGTGTGTGTGTATTTTTTTAAAAAATATTTTTAAATATATA